ATAAGGAAAAAAGAAGAATAAAAATTAGATCAAATTTCGTTAAGAGCAAAGAATGGGTTTTCCGTCCAATTTTTGATAAATTGAGGTATGATATTCGTTCAAAATTAATGATACAAAAAATCGCTTTCCTTTGATTTCAATCAGAAAATTTTTGCTTCAGAAATATATAACAAAATTTTGCTCGTTAAAGAGTTATTGATAAAAGACATTTGGCCCCTATGAACCCCTAATTTGATGGGTCAGCCCTATTTGTTGATAAAAATAAGAGATCTTGTGACTTTTTTGTTAAACAACTGTTCAGGAGTTCTTTTCATTTTCGAGATATGTAGATTAGAAATATTTCGGGGTGAGCCCTTCAAGTTCTCAATGGAACAGATTGTTGTTCTGAACATCTTTTGTTCCATATTGCTTATCAAAATATCTGCCCCTCATAACGTAGTGTATGATCGAAATTTTATAATATATGGTTGCAAATCATCAAGATTGACATTTTTCCTTCAGTAATTATAACAAAGTATTGATTGTTACAAAGTTGAAAGACTTCTGGCCCCTCTGAGCTCCTAATTTTAGCGGTCAGCCCCTTTTTTCTTTTATGAAAGGAGGGGATCTTAAGATCTGGCCACAGGCGGAGCTTAGTTTAAGTCATCAGTGAGAACACACGGACTTCAGTAGTCAGTAGGATACCAATTTCATTACTTACGTCTGCGTATTGTTATCCTTTTTTTAAAATTTGATTTAATTTTTTTTTAAAAATAATACTTGCACAGAACTCTATGATGAGTATAGTAGAAATATGCTAGAATATTTTTACCTGACCAATGGAAAGTTTGATCCCAGATTACACAAATAAATCAATAGACAAACAATTTGATGATCAATTAAAGAATCAGGACTTAGTTTTACTTACTGAAACCCATATTTAGATAAGATACCCATATTGAAATTCCAAATTTTTATTTTACCAAATATGCAGGGAAAAATCATCAAATCATAAATATTTTGGTTGATTGGGAATCTTTGTGAAGAGATGTATTAGAAGAGGCATTGTAAATACGAGTACAGAATACACAACATAGAAATGCAACCAACAAACAAACAAAAAAAGGTTTGATTCTGACCTTATAAAAAAGCGAAAATACTTATTTGAGAAAGCCACATTGCTTTCGAGATTTCTCAATAACCCTTACTTACGAGGTTCCTTATTCAAACTAAATAAAGAATACGCTAAGCTGTGGAACTGTAAAAATCAAAAGTTTAGACAAGGCATTCTAGATAAACAAGATCAACTGACTGAAACTAATCCTACTTACTTGTAATTAATGAAATCTCTATGTGAGACTGAAGGGAAATAAGATAATCCAGAGAAGTTTATTGATGGGGGTACATGGTTTGACTATTTTACTTCTTTGTCTTAATTACCAGATAGTACAAGGACAGTGTTAAAACTAAGGAAACCAAAATTCAGGAATTAAAAAAAAACTGTCAGGTGTGTAACTATTTTAGCAAATTGGATATCGAGATATATCTGTCTGAAATTCAAAAGGCCATAACTACCTTAAATTCAGGTAAAAGTCCTGGTTTGAACAACTTGATCAAATAAAATGATAAAAGCAGGTCAAATTTATACAAATCCTTGTATTCTAAAACTATTAAACATTGTCTTGACACCAGAACTACCCAGAGAAATGGTTAGAAGGTTATACTACACCCATTTTTAAATCGAGTAACCCAAAGCTCCCCAGAAATAGAGGAAAAACCTCTTGCCTTACATGGCTGTGAGATATGGAGAGTACTTTCTGCAAACATGTTCGAATAAAGACAGATTGATATATCTTCAAAGACTGGGAGATAGAAGACTTGAATATCAAATTTTGTAAACATCTATTGGGTGTAGGGAAAAAGAAATACGAATATTGCAATCAGAATTAGGTAGATATAATGTTTGGCTCAGTAATTCAAAGTATTCAACTATACTGGCTTGACTTAACTACATGTATAGTCCAAAATCATTCATTACACAGAGCTTATAAAGAGAGCGTCTAATTGAATTCATACAATATAAATTGATGGTACAAAAATATAATGTATTTTAATAAAAATTGTGGGCATTTTGTTATCTAATTGTAAAAACCCCAAATTCTCTTTTTTCAAAAAAAAAAAAAACAAAAACAAAAACAAAAACAACACCAAAAAAAAACCCCAAACAAACAAAAAAAAAAAAAAAACAAAAAAAAACAAACAAACAAATAAAGAATCATATGTAAGAAAATGATTTATGCTATATTGGTCGGGAAAAAACGTGAAGAGGGTCATAAGTATTGTGAAAACGTACCATAATTAGTTAGAATTTTCAGAAAAAGAGGTGATGTCATAAAACTGATAAAACGCATCTAATTTACTATTTATACGTTGGTATGTCACATACTTTTGTATACACCATATTTAAGAAATCACTGTCTAGTTTGTTGGGTATGCCAGGGCTTCAACACTAGTTGGAAACGTGGGGTAATTTGCATAACGGGCGAAGCCCATTATGCATAAATTATCCCACGTTTCCAACTATCGTTGATGTCCCTGGTATACTCAACAAACTAGACAGTGATTCTTTATATTTACATGTGAAATAAAATTGTAAATATAAATTTAAAAAAAAAAAAAAATGCTGTGTAATAGATTTTAAATACACGAGGCCTCACATGTTAATTTCAATATTCCCGCCTACTGACGTCAGACACAAACACAGCCGCACGAGATTGACATGCATATAAGGCTCCAGACCTTTCACCTGGCGAAATTAACATTCCGGTTGAATTTACTATTATTCTCCTGGGGTCATTTTTCTTCATGTAGGGTACATGCAGATTCTATGGGCGATAATTGACCCGCGGTCATTATTCTACAGGAGTATTCGTCTTTACTCTGACCGAAAAATTTCTTTAATCAATGAATTTTTTCATCGAAACTCTTAAAAGAAGGATCAGTAATAATTTTTTTCTAGTGTAGAATAAAATTTTAATTTCCTTGGAATACTTCTTGTTATAACTAAGATTCATCATGGGTAGGTCATAACCTGATTTTTTTTTTTAATAATCTTCTTGAGTTTTGTTGCACTCAAGCATAGTATTAATCTCAGCAAATCTCCTTTAATTTTTTTCCTTCTCTTCCTCTTTCCCGAATTCCACTTGAGGACATTTGAGCCTTAATGTTTCTTCCACTATCTTGAGTTTTGCTGAATTTCATGAGGCTGTTAGGCCGAAGGCAAACAGATTGGTTCGAGAGGTCGACAAAACGCACTTTGCCCGAGAACACAGCCAATAAATGTTTTGTTATACCTTTTATTATTATTAATTTTTTTTTTTTGAATATATGTATCTTGTGCTGGCTTCCATGAAAATTTAAATGTTAATATAAATTTCCTTTACCCGCACTCCGGTAAAAATTGTTCAGTTCTAAGTTTTCACATTTTCTAAAGCTGTTAAAAAACTGTTCTTTAATTAATATATTTCAGTTGTTTTTTTTAACTGCACACAGTCTTCTGTATTAAATACTAGGCCTATATATTAGGTGTGAATTTTTATTAATAAATAAATAAAGCAAAAAACAAGGAAAAGTATTTCTTCCTACTATAAGCCTGTATTTAACTGTCAATAGACACTATAAGATATTTTACTGGATTTGTTCCCTAATTCCCGCGATTTCATCTAGTCCTCTTATAAAAATTATCACCATGAGTAGTAATTTCTTTCATCTTTATAAGATTTTACTGCTACATTTTGTTTTAAAATACCGGTATTTGGGAAGAAGACTTTCACAATGAAATGAATACCATAAATATAATATCCATTTATTCAAAAAACAATTTGGCTGAGGGGAGGTGGAGTACCGCACCCACCCCTCTCCCGCAACCTCTTTCAAGAAATCTGGTGACAGCCATGCTGTGGTTCATTGTATGGATCCTCCCTTCTTGTCCACCATACCCCCTATTGTAATATAAACACTTTTCTGTTTTAAAATCTCCATTTAATCTGCTAAGTGACGTCTGCTTCTCAGAGTCAGTGTTTGTGGCTTTTTCATTTTTTAAAATTGTTGCTGTTTAGAAAAAAAGCAAATGCTTGTTCATTGTACAACTGTACAGAGTAAACCTTTTTTGTGGACGATGAGTAGTTTGTTTGATAAAAGAATATGAATTGAGCTGTTTGATAAAAGAACATGAATTATTTGAAAGAACAAAGTTTACGAAAGTTTTAACACCTGCAGAGAGCCCCACCCCCCTTTCCGTTGTTCATACTCATTAATTCAAATGAATACTACCTTATTATGATCTATTTTTGTGAATCGTGGGATTATTTGTGGTTTCCAACCGCAAATTGCCGACAACTTAGCAGAGATAAAATTAACGATGCAATGAAGTTTTTTCCTTATACATTAATGCTTCTTTTTTCTTAAAAAATGATGTCTCCAGCTCTCCTCTCATTGGTTTTTATGGTATACCAAAACCGACGAAGCCACTTTAGCAGGCAGAGCATCGTTAATTTTATCTGCTTACGTTAATATTTTGCATTTTTAGATCTACTAAACTGAAAAGTTTAGTATTAAAAAAAAAGTACACAAAACAAAAAAAATTATTTCAAATTGACATTTTTTTAAAATTCAAAATCTAATACAATGATTCTCTCTCTCTCTAAATAAAAAAAAATCCGTATCATTTTACGGATGTTTAACCTCATTTTACTGACTCTCAGAAATAAAGGTAATTATTTCTTCTCAATAATAGACAAATTGTCTTGAGGCACTCTAGTAATATAAAAATAAAGTTTGGTTAACCAACTCAAATCTTAAGCCATCTAAATTCATATGCATGTTGTTTATTTTTATCTATGGCAAATAACAGGAAATATATCTTCATTAAGTGGGTGATGTCCAAAGCATATCTTCAGTATCTATTTTCAATTTTCAAGAAGAACGTATGAGTGAGTTCTTCGCACGACAGAAAATAAACAGATTTCGTAATCCCGGCTGTCAAACTTAATGGCTCTCTCACCTGTTGTCAAGTTTTGCAGATATGCATCATCATAGAATATATTAAAACATAAGTATATATTTACAATTCAAGCAAGCAGTGTGAGGAAAACACCTCAGCAATATCTCCAGTCATGGCGGCTCTACGATTTTTCCTTATATTTGCTTTTTTTTGGAATTGTCAAAGCCAGCAATTACTTCAGATGTATTTAAAAACAACTCTTGAAAATGCATACAGAGCGTGTCGAACCGGGATGAATCCTGGATTAGCTGTGGCTGTGGTGAAGGATGGACAAGTTCAGTTTACTCATGCACTTGGGGTCAAGGATAAAGCTTATCCTATGACCTTAGGTAATAGAGTGACTACCAATACAAAATTTGGAATTGGATCTCTTTCTCAAGTTTTCGCAAATGTTTTAACGCTAACTGTTATGAATTCAACAGAAAGATTACGGTAAGAACTTTGAAGTTCTGAAAAAAATCATTGGATAGACTAAATAACAACATTTTTATCATAAGTACTTCAAAATGTTAGAAAGAATTTAATAATTGATATTTAAGAAAGAATTTTTGATGACAGATATTTTGACTCGAAGGCAAATGCTAAATTTTTATTATTTATTTATTTTTTGCATTTTTATTCAAATTTGAAGAAAACCATTTCAGAAATAAAAGATTAACATTTGTTAAAAAAAGATCCATCCATTGTACATTATATATGCGTATTCTGGCTTCTCCTTACAAAGCAGACAAAATACATAAATAATGAATCTTTTATTTATCAAAATAATTATATATCAAAAGAACTTTTTTTAAATTTTCTGACTTTTTTTGAGTTGTTCAAGCTTTTTTATATTCAGATATTTAAAAAAAAAAAAAAAAAAAAAAAAAAAAAAAAAATCTGCTTCTAACTTACAAAATATTGTGAAATGATTTTATTTCGTGTTAGTCAATGTCCGTGGGTATCCATACTTTTACTTGTTAGTGGGGACTTAATTTCGTGGATAACTCGTATAAAGAGAAAATCAATTGAAACAATACGTTGAGAAACTTATTATTCGAAGTGATGGGTGAAGGTACCCCCAAAAATCGTCCAACATTGTTTCCAAATGATGATATTTCCATAGCATTTGTTAACATGACAAAGGAGTCAAGAATTTAACTAAATCTACATGTACATCTAAAGGAATGTTGAGAAACTGTTGCTAACTATATGCATTTAAAAACTCAACTCAATATATCCATCTATTCCTTAATTAAATTATTGTATTTTTGTTGTTTTCAACTTGACTTTGCATATTATTATAAATGAATCCTGATATACATTTATTGACTGGGTTCGAAGGCAACATTCGTTTTGTCGTACCCAAGAACCAAACCGTTTACCAAAGGCCGTTAGACTGAAAGCAAACAGTTATGTTCGAGGGGTCGGCAAAACACATTTATTATGAGTCACAGTCAATAAATGTTTCGTTTTACATTTTTTTGGACATATCTTATGCTAGTTTTCGTGATGTAAATTTCATTTATCCGTACTGCGGTTTAAACTCGGCTAATTCCGTAAGGTTGTGCCGAAGTCCAACGAATTCAATGCAAATAAGATATAAGTGATCCCGCCCACAGTGTGACTTAAGTTGTTGAATATCTCATTTCTCATTCTAACATCGATTTTGTTTTTTGACCTCTCTGTAAAACATTGGAAATGTTAGACTTTTTAAGTAAAGATTTATATGGGAAGCAATTTTTAAAGGTATAACAATTATAAATACTTTACATGTATAAAGAATAATTCAAAAAAAAAAAGCACCACTACAATGTATACAATATACATGTATCCGATGTTTTAAGCAATGCGAAAAAAAAATATAATGTTGATTCGAACAGTTTGGTATATGCTAATTTTCAGAACATCTAAAGAGATAAATTCTCATTAGAAATTGTTTCTACTGGTACTTCTCTTCTCACTGCCTTCCGTCTACACCTTGGTGGTTTCAATTCCCTCTCTCTCTCTCTCTCTCTCTCTCTCTATACATTTATATATCGAATGTATGTAAGCCTGAAGATGGATGGATGAAAATCCAAAACGCGCTCGTAAAATGATATTTTGAAATCTGTGAATTTTTTTTCTTTTATGATAAAAATTTTGAATGATTTTGCAAAGATTTACATAAAACTCAAAATAGTTTTCCGAGAAATCAATTAGAATTCTATTCATTGCAGGAAAAAAGGTATCGATACAACGCTAAGAAACTATTTCCAACATAAAGGACTCTTCAAGCACTCTTATCTGCGTTCTCGATACGCCACATTGTTAGATCTAATGGCGCACAGAATGGGATTCGAGAACCACAAATATCTTCGTTTGAACCTCACAATGACCAGGGACAAGATCATGATGTAAGTCATTCAATATAAATGGAAATATCTCCTTGTGATTAAGCTTGTACGTTCACTTTCGCTATGTTTGTCTTAGGACTAGAATCATTTCAAATTGCTTCTTTCATTAACTTTTACCAATATAAATGATACATAGATAATTTTGGAACCCCCCCCCCCCTTCAATCCCAGAGCTTGTTGCACTTTTTTTCACAAAATATCTTAATTACACTAACTTATCTTGTATACCATGAGAACAATAAAAAACAAAACAAAATAATCGTTCCACACAAAAAATATCCACTATACCTTACAAGAAAGGTATGCCACTTGTAAGCTCACCTGTGCTGAAAGCTCAAGTGAGCTTTTCTGGTCACCCGTTGTCCGTCGTCCGTCCGTCTGTAAACTTTTCACATTTTCAACTTCTTCTCAAGAACCACTTGGCCAATTTTAACAAAACTTGGTACAAAGTATCCTTGGGCAAAAGGGAGTTTAAATTGTAAAAATAAAGGGCCAAGTTCCCTTACAAGGGGAGATAATCAAGAAAAGACAAAAATAGGGTTGGGTCATTAAAAAATCTCTTCTCAAGAACCACTGGGCCAGAAAAGCTGAAACTTATGTGGAAGTATCCTGGGATAGCGTAGATTCTAAATTATTAAAATCATGACTCCCGGGGGTAGGGGGGGCACAATAGGGAATCCAAGTTTTAAATTGAAATATTTAGGAAAAAATCTTTAAAAATCATCTTCTAAAGAACCACTTGATCAGAAAAGCTGAAACTTATGTGGAAGCATCCTGGGCTAGTAAAGATTCTAAATTGTTCAAATCATGACCCCCGGGGGTTGGGCGGGGCCACAATAGGGAATCCAATTTTTACATTGAATTATATAGGAAAAATCTTTAAAAATCTTCTTCTCAAGAACCACAGGACCAGAAAAGCTTTAACTTATGTGGGAGCATCCTCGGGTAGTGTAGATTGTAAATTGTTCAAATCATGATCCCCGGGGGTAGGGCGGGGCCACATTAGGGAATCCAATTTTTATATTGAAATATATAGGGAAAATCTTTAAAAATCTTCTTCTCAAGAACCACTGGGCCAGAAAAGCTGAAACTTATGTGGAAGCATCCTCGGGTAGTGTAGATTGTAAATTGTTCAAATCATGATCCCCGGGGGTAGGGCGGGGCCACATTAGGGAATCCAATTTTTATATTGAAATATATAGGGAAAATCTTTAAAAATCTTCTTCTCAAGAACCACTGGGCCAGAAAAGCTGAAACTTATGTGGAAGCATCCTGGAGTAGTGTAGATTGTAAATTGTTCAAATCATGACCCCGGGGGTAGGGCGGGGCCACAATAGGTATTACAAGGGGGGATCTGGTAAAGAACAGCATGGCCAAAGTTACTCAGGTGAGCGATGTGGCCCATGGGCCTCTTGTTTAAATTTGTAATGGTTAAGGCTTTTATGTAAAACGCAATGAAGACCTCAAATAGTGGAATGACCTGACAATCCTTGGTATGGACTAGCCCAAGGGTATATAAAGCGAAACGTTGAGAAATAGAAGCTAGCTGAAAACGTTGGCAAAGATAAAGAAATTAAGGGCAAGAACAGACCAGTGGCAAGTATCCTAGGAAATTGATGTTAAGTTCTGTGTGTAGTAAATCTAAACAAGATTGAAACACCCGGTTCTTCTTTATCAATAGGAACCTAGGGGAGAAACACGGTGCAGGTAGTACCTTACCCAGTCCCCGTCTCTAGATAAGGAAAAAAACAGAAATGTGAGATTTACCATCAGAAAGAGCGGTCTTAATAACCATTCCAATCATTAACTCAGACAGAGTAAGAGGAAAACCAATATATTCCTTGTAAGAACCCGATCATACACGTTACACATTGCATCCCCTCTAGTCTAACATGTACTAGTATTTATTATATTTCAACTTAAAATGTCGGTTCACATTGTCTCTTCATATATTGCTGTCTTCAATTATACAGATACATTGCTTTTGGATCACATAAGAATCCCACAAATATCCAAAAACACGATAACAGTCCATGCGTTGTAAAATCCTCAGGTAAAAGCAACAGAAGTATACCAAAAATGCATTGCGTATAAGATAACTTCCGAGACATTTTTGGACCTGGCATAATGATCTTGGATGTTATCATAATAGGTAATACATTCTCTATGCACTTTCGTTGCTGTTAAACGCACTGACTGTAGTCGTGTTTTAGGATTATTTTTGGGATTCTTATGTGAGGATGAATATTGGGGAGGGGGAGGTTCTGTCCACAAGTACCTGTGGCATGATAGTGCTATTTACAACAAACAAAAGGGTTTAAATGAATAAGTACTAGTATACAATGACATTGTAAAATAATTTAATTTTGGTTGTAACACGTCATTTGATTGGATAAACATATTAGTTTATATCGGTTTTTATTTGCCAACAAAATCTTATATGACTATCGGGGAATATTCTCCAACAATACCTCCGACGCGGGAATTGTTCCTTAAATAATGTAGTTAATTTGTTGTTGCTTTACAATACAGGATGGTGTATTAAAATTAATGTTCTACTTTTTTTTTCATTTTTAGGAGAGTGCATCATATGAACCCAAAAGGTCGGTTTCGTGACAGTTTTTATTACAATGACTTAATGTATGGAATCATTGCTAAAATATCTGAAGATATTGATATTCTTGGCTCAACATGGGAGGAAATGGTCAAGAAATATGTGCTTAATCCACTTGGAATACCATCAACCACTTTCTTTACTAATCTCAACCCACTGATGGATGATGTGGCCCGGGGCTATGTTGAGGATGAAGGACGTCTGTATCCCGTTCCGTACGAGTTTCTAAAGTACGATTCAGCGATGTTTAATCAATTTTTCTTTTAGAAATTCATTTTCCATTCCGATACTGTAGTATTTACGCTTGTTAAATTGGTTCGGCGATGTTTACACACGTTTTCTTCCCGAATTTCAATTTTTCATTCAAGTAACTATTCAAACAACAATAAAAACAGCCGAATGAAAGTCTGTATGCAAATACAAGGATAAAAAAAAATTAAATCGTCAACATTTGTTAAATTCTCATATTCACAAACTTTTTTATTTGTTTATATATATATATATATATATATATATATATATAATGGTGTGCACACATTTTAGGGCATGGACTCGTTTCTGTGGGGATTCTTGTGTTCTGAGTAGCGCTAATGATATGGCAAGATTCATGATCTTTCTACTCGGCAATGGTACTATCCCAGGCTCATCTGTGTCACTCATCGATGAAGAAAATTTTAAATATATGTTCAAGCCATGGAATAGAATACAGTCACCAAGTGTTGAGGATTATTTTTCAAAAGCAGAAGGTGTTCCAGTGTCGCGTACTCATTCAGGGGTCGGTCTTGGATTGAAGACTGGAATGTACAGAGGTAACATTAATCCTTATAGATATTTAATGTATAAAAGTTTAAGCACCTTATCTTCAGATTTACCTTGGATCGAGCATCAAATCTAAATCTACTTATAAGATTTTCTTGCTACATTTTAGGTTGGAAAATAGTGGAACAAGCAGGGGACCTTTTTGGCTACAGCACAATTATGACATTATTTCCAGAAACAAACTTAGGAATTTTCATAGCCATGTCAGGTGAAGATAAATATGACTTTTTCAGAACCACCCTCGCTTCCTATATTGCTGATCTGTATCACAAGGAGACCCCTTGGCTAAATTCTACCCTTCTATGTTCTTTTCCAAGTCCATGGAAAGTTCCACCTTCACCAAAAGCGCCACTAAATATGACTGAAGTGCCGCTCAAACGGCCTATCACTGATTACATTGGTACTTATACTAACGATCTCTACGGTGCATTAGAAGTTAGAGAAGTGTTTGGAAGACTTGAACTTAACTATGGTCTCGGTCAATTTGACTTAAAGCGAAAAGATTCCACAAAGCCGAGGTTTTACATGATTCCAAAGGGACTTGGTAAACATGTCATTGATATAGGCTCAATGAAATTTAGAGAACAAAGAGGAACAAATCTAATTGAAAGTGCCAATATCAACATGTTTGAAGATGCTGATTTTATGAAAGTTGGCGTCCCTGCTCCACCATAAATAAATTTGTTGTGTAGTGAACAATGTGCATGTCGTAAATAAGAAAACCCATTTAGCTAATTTTCGAAGGAAATAAGTAATAGTTTTTGTTGTTGTTGTTTTTTTGGATTTCTAAATTTGTCGATGTATTTCTTTGATTTTTGCATATTTTATTCATTTCATCTTACATAATGTCTTGACATGAACGATTTATATTTATCTATAAAAATGGTAAAATAGTGAAGCTTATTAAGGAAATCACTGAACAATCCTTGTACATGTATTAATGAATACATGTGAATAAAACCGTAGCTTTTGTCAAGTTTAGCAATGTACTTCCAAGCAAATTAACAGAAGTTATGAAGGGGCCTTATCTTAAAATGCGAAATAAATGCCTCATTCTTCAGAGAATCAGGCTGAACCCTTTAACCATCAGTGGCGCATTTGGACGCATTTTCACCATCACAGATATTTAACTGTTAACGTTTTGTAAATAATTGGAATACAACAAAACAAATTATATATTCTGAAACTACAGAAGAAACAAAACATTTTTTCTACTTAAATTTTTTCTGGATTTGTTAAGAAATTGTCATAAACTTGAAGTGAATATTGCAAATCCTTGCAAGAAGTTGATAAAATTATGCTTAACTGACTGAATTTGGGCTATCTTCTGTTGGCCTTATCTTAATTAAGTACAAAACACAATAAAACAAAAAATGCCATATTCTGAAAGCTAGGAATTTTCACTACATTTATTTCTAATTTTAGTATATTTTACATGTATAATTATGTATTACAGTATGCTATATGAAAATTCTTGAAAACACGTGAATGTGTGCTGCAAATAGATTGGTTGAAATTTAAATGGCTATAACATCTTCATTTTCAACAAAAGATGATGAAATTTAGAAAACATAAATAGGTATAATGGGCTCCTACATCATACTGCTATCAAAATTGAATGCTGTATGCTGAATTCTGATTGGTTAGTACTTTATAGGTTGTTTCTCTTACTATTCATTAAATAATTTGAAATTTTAAAAGACTTGGGTATATAAGGCATTATAAAAATACATATGTGCGAAATCTAGAAACTATACGAAGGCACTTGTTCTGAAATCTGATTGGCTAAGATTGTAACTTAAAGCCTATAGTGTGACAAACATGAAGGTGAAAAATTTATTTTAATTATATCAAAAAATTCCTTGATATTTCATATAACATTAAGATATACTTTATGTAAAATCTCTACAATTTGCAAAAATCTCACAAAGATTGAAATTATTTGCTTATGAAATATTATACACACACTAAAGAGGGCAAAAAGGGTCATGAGTGGGTCTTCGCTCCATTTTTTTGAAAGTTAATCTTCAAAGTTTGCATAAAAATATACATTTTTTGGTTTCCAAAAACATGGAGCAAAGACCCACTATACCTTAAAAATATACTTTTATGACATAGCATTCGCATCTTTTCGAGAAATACTTGAAGTCCATCAAGTCAAGGGTCATATCACAAACATGATTTAAATGCCGCTATTTATCAGGAATTGTGTAGTCTAGTGATTAGCGTGCTAGTCTCGAAAGAAATGATACTCAGGATTTTTATTGCTAGGGTTCGATCCCACGAATACCACATTATTTTATTAATCAAAGAATAAATTTTGCCGAGAAAATTTTCCTCAGAAAAGTTTTGTTTATCGTAATTTCAGAAATTTCAAAAATGAGAACTTTACTCTAAATACTAAATTCACAAATTGAAATGATTTTTATATATTGGAAGCTATAGGCTTTCTGCATGCTATGTTCACCCATCTCCTTCAGAGTATATATAAATAATAGATGTCTCTACATTATGGAATCATTACAAATGAACACGAATGCTGAATTCTGATTGGTTAATATTCAGTTTGCTGTAAATTTTTAGTTTTCTGTGAAATTCAGTGAAATCTAAAATGTAGGTCTTCATTATGGCGTACTATGAGATGGTGTATATGGTAATTTTCGAAATCATGTGCATGCACGTGTACTTAAAATCTGACTGGGTCGTGCTCAATTTCCTATATGTGCGTTATTATTTCCCCAATTCTTCGGAAAATAAGTCTAATTTAATGAGATTTATAGGGATGGAGGGGGGGGGGGGGGCACATGTAACGGTCTCCGTTAGAATTAGAACGTATGTTCTAGTTATTCTTTTTTTTTTTCTACTTTTGTGTTCTCATAGAACCACTCATACGATTGAGATGACACCGTTTTAGGGTTAATAGGCATGTTGTGTAGATGTGCAGATTGAAGGTCATTTTGCGCAGTTGCACGTATGTGCGTGCGCGTGCGATGAGTGAAATGACTAATCTACATGGTGTAGCCAAATTTTTATGTTTTTTTTTGGATGAGATGAGTAGAATAGATATGATAACATGGTCAAATTAGCATGAGCTCACGCGCATGCACGTGTACTTCGCTCTGATTGCTGACACAAAAATCTCAATAACTTCCTCATTTTTTGACAAAATACTTTGAAATTTAAAATATAAGTATAAATTATAAGGCTTTCGAATATATAAAATACAGTAATATTTTATGCACGTGAGCTGCAGTTTGATTGGCTGAAACTTGAAATTGCTATAACTTAATTCCTTGGTTCTCAACAAAACAGGATGAAATTTAAATTGTAGATAGGCACCGTGAACTTCTACTTTATAGTTCTATCAAAATCAAATGTAAGGCCATGCATGCGCGTGCATTCTGATTGCTAATACTTTAGTGGTAATATCTATCTTATTTTTCAATGAAATTCTGAGATGTTTAACACATAGGTATATATTATGAGACACTATCAGAGGATATATGTAAATAAATAAAAAAATCTAGAAAGCATGTGCAAGCATGTGTGCTGAAATCTGATTGTCTAATACCCGTACGCCAATACCGTAGTAGTTTTCCGATTAAATAATTTAGAAAAGCAATGGTAGATCTTTGATACCTAAGTATCCAAGTATTGCCTAATTTATTGAAGCTTGTAGGGAATTGAGCAACATAAAAAAAGTGGGGGAATGCTTAGGGAACATCTGTAACTGTTCCCATTGCAATCACATATTGTCTAGTACAATTTGAAATTCTTAGTAAAACATCACTTCATAGTAAAAAAAAAAATTATACTACGTAAATAATGGTTTCCTATATAGTTAAACTATAGTTTACTGTAATATTTATTTATGTTAGGGATTGCCTGCACTACCTACACTCGGTGAAAATTATTACTGTGAAGTTCTACATGTATTCAGATTGTTCAAGTCATAATCGGACAAAATTAGGTGGAACAATAACAGTACACATGTGTCTCCCTGGCTTTTTTGAGATGACATAACAAAGAGCTACATAGTACATTCAACTATAAATTTGAATATAAAAGTAATTTGTTGGAAGGCAGTAAAAAAAACTGAGACGCTGTAATTAGAAGTTGTCACGGTGCTTCGTTAATTCCCATTTACCAACAGTGCAATTAAATTGCAATCTCCATAAAATTATAATTACACAAACATAACCATTTATTAAAATCCTTTTCGTTCCATATGACATTAGCTCTGACAAATTACTTAAGTTATTTTTCTCTTTATAAAATTGACTTCTGGTACGGTAAACCTCATTTTAAGCATGGTGATTGAGTACTCCTTGACTTTTAGGGTCACTAAGATAGCGTAAATCGAGAGTAATTCAACGAGCAATTTTTGTTTTTTCCAATGACATCGTTAAGAATATGTCATGAATATGTTAAATAGCAAGATTAATTATAAAGCATTCAAACTCACTGTTTTAGTAAATACTAGATAGCAAATGTACAAATATATTCGATGGAATACATTACATCAAGTTGTTTGAGGAATCTTGTATTCTTTCTGGTATTTTCCTCCACAACTTCGGTTGAAATGAGTACAAAGACCAAAATTCATAATTCCCTGACATCTGTTTTTACAAAATGTCGTCAACAAATGAATCCAGGGATGGCTGCAGTGGTGGTCAAAGATGGACATGTTTTTGCAGAAGGGTTTGGTGTCAAGGACTTGGAGACTAAACAACCAGTGACCACAAGGACTTTATTTGGCATTGGCTCACTTACTAAAGTGTTTGCCAACTTGCTGATCCAAAAATACTTTGGCGAGAACTCCAGGTATGGAAATACATAACGATCAAGCTGATCGGAAAGATAAAACAATGGATATAAAAATAGAAATCATTTAGGAGAAATAGGCCTTTGAGGTAGACATTCAAACAGTGTTCAGATGTTGATTTATGGTAAAGAAGTATGTATTAAACTATTTATAAGGGTCAGGTTTTCAGCTCAGAAATGTACGAAATACAGATAGATGATAGACATATAGACTCATTTTTGACAAGATAAATAAGTATATTTTACTTATACACGTACTTCAGACCCTAATTGGCAGCTGTTTTTATTGACTTTGAAAACGACAAATTTTAGAACTGTAACTATTTTGCTTGAATAATGTAGCAATTTAATCTCATTTGCGTTTGGAATGTTCATTATATGTGGTCTACTGTTTATTCAATATTTACATTCCACATGCGTTTTCCTTATAAAGTGTGTAGAGGGCTTTGGCATAGAAAACTCCGTAAAATGGACTGGGAGATCAAAAAGATAAGATATAATTGTTATTTTGTCATCACAAATGTTTAATGCTGTGCAAGTGCAACTTCATAAGCGAAAATCAAAACTAGGTTCACACTAACATTGAACAGTATCGCCTGCTCTTTCAATTTAGCTGTACAAGTGCAGTGTGTATCATTTAAAGCATAATGTACAAGGGTGTGTTCACCGAACGTCTACTCACTCATATATATATATATAGAGAGAGAGAGAGAGAGAGAGAGAGAGCACTAAGAACGAGCAATAGAAGTTGTCAAATTTTCAGGACGCCCTGTCCCTTCCTCAGGACAAAGAAAAGCAAATCAAATGAAAACAAATATATCTAGCACTACAACTACGCTACTAAACCCTATTTATTTATACTTTTACATTTTGAATTTTTGATGTTGAAAACTAATAAAATATTAAATGAATCCGGACCACCGCGAGGCACGTCCGGTCAGTCTCGTATACTGTGGCGATGTGTGATTTAAATAAGCGACCGAATTAATTATCGTTAATTAAATACTGCGAGGTGTTAAACCGTACAACATTGTATTCTTTCTGACATAGTAATATTACATAAAGATATAGATACTGAAATGAAATAAGTAATAATGAAGGAAATTGAATACGAGTAAAGCAGAATTAGAAGGAAACTAATAATTTAAGAACCCTATAAAATTTTTGAAATATTTATCTAAAACTTTTGAGTATTAATCAAAACATTTTTAAAAAAGAAGAAAATAATGAGAAAAAAATATGAATTTATTGGGTAGTACTAACTATGTGGAGAGAAAAGTCTTGACTGCCTTCACCAAACGTTAAATTTTTCGCTTAACTCATGTTCATCCTGGTGAAGTCATTCAGTTTGTTAATATCATTAGGGCGGAATGACTTCAGTCTGTGCATCCAAAATTTTTCTTTGCTTTTTCTCTGAGCATCGGTCCATTTTGGATTATGGTCAATAACCACTACTGTCATGTCCTCCCATTTGTGACTTCAAGGTTGAAATGTTCCTCATTGAGTTTCTTGGTCTTAATGGTTTAACGTGATTATTGATTCTCCTGCGGAGATCTCCCGATTCCCCAAACATACTGTTTGGAACAAACTTTACAACTGATGAGATATATGCAGTTGTCTGTTTGACAGGACAAATTCCATGGAATTCTGTAGCTGCGGCCTGTAACGGGGCTGTTAAAACTGTCTGTGTCAGAGCTGTGCTTACAGAGAAGACATCAAGCTTTAAAGTCTCCGTTAGGTAATGGATTGTCCAATCTGGTTCTTACTACCATGTCCTTTAAGTTCTTCGGGCGCTTGTATGCAGCCAATGGAGGTTCCTTAAAGACCTCTGCCATTCTTTTAATTTGTTTGAGTGGAGAATTGACAGGTTCTTTTTAAGAAAACTGCTGAAGTTCTTAAGGCCGGGATGGTATGGGGTTACCAGAGGGACCCTGCTGCTATTTTCTTTCTCCATAGAGTGTAACAGGTTTTGTCTGTTGTGCTCTGCCATCTCATCAATAGCAGTTTGTACGATGTGGGCTTTGTAACATCTATTGCTATTGGAGACTTCTTTGTTCCTGATATAAGGCAGGGGATGAACAGATGCCCTTGAATGTGTGTGGGGGATAACAGCTAGTCGGCATGAGATACAGGTGGGAATCAGTGGTTTTGTGTGGAGAATAAACTCGATTTCGCCATCAATCAGGGATGTGCGCGCGTCATTAGCCAAACCAAAAAAATAACTCAGTTGTATCGAGGGCATTGGGGTATATATCGTTACGATAATATGTGGTGTCTGAAAGAAATATAGCGGAATACGGCTAGTTGGTCAATTGGTATGAAACAAGTCGTACATTGACGCAAATGTTGCGTTTTTTAAGAATCCATGTCGGCTTTAAACAAAACACACTCATACCACAGACAGTAACAGCAATAGAACCCTTAGCTCCCACTTTACTTTTCACAGTCATATAAAAAACATTATCTTTAGATTCATACTTTATTAGTCGCCCGCGTGGCGCAGTGGTTAGAGTGTCTGCTCTAGAGTCGCGGAGTAAGGAGTTGATCCTTCCATGTACGTCGCGGGTTCGAATCCCACTATGGGACTGGAGACCGGTTCTTACGCACTTGCGCACTTGGATACCAAACGAAGATTATTTAAATGTCAGATGCGGGACTGGGAGTAAGGTGCAAAGCTCCGAATCTAGATCTCGTTTTTGACATGATAGACCATCTGAGTATTGTATCCTATTTAAAACATTCTTGTGACTTTATTCTTTTGTTCCTAAAGCCTTCTAATTCAAAGACTACTGACCTAGTCCAATGTTATCTTCACGAGTACAGTAATAAGGTTTTTTTTTCCAAATCTTATAGCAAGACATTTCGTCACATCATTTCATGGTGCTGACTAATAATATTACAGGCATAGTATGATATATTTACATTTGCTGTGTTTTTTTACCAAGCCAACTGTGAAATTGATTTGAAAGTCATTTTTGTGTACACTCACGCGTAGAAATATAAAGGACGAAACTCGCGCCAAAGTGACGTCACAATGAGGCTACGACGTTAATAAATATATGACGATATAGGGCCAAGAGAAATTCAAAAACTGAGTATATTTTTGGTGTATTTAAGCATGTAAAATGTAAATATAAGGAATGTTTGTAAGTTATATGTTAATTATTGGTGTGTAAATCACACAGACTTGCACGTAGGCATATTTTTCATGAAGCGCGCTACAAAACTTTTTTTAATGCTTTATTTCTGTGTACTTGATACAGTTAATACACTATAAATAAATTGCACATAAATTTTTAACACCCACTCCCACTCTTCACTCATACTTACATAAACAATATAGAAATTTTAGCCATATTTACAAGCTATGTATAAAAAAAAACAAATTGTATGCAGCCTTTATCTCTTAATATTCAACTTTTTTCTTCGCATTTAAGTTTCCAACATAAGTTTCCATTGTGTCCATACAGACTCAAATTTATCAGCCGTTGAATTTTTAACAGATATGTATATTTCCACATTATAGTACTCTTTTAAATAGGCTACCAGTCCATTTAAATTTGGCATTTTAATATTTTTTAAACAATGAAAAATATACTGTTTAGCATATAAAATTATAAAATTAATAACATAGTTTGAATTTGAAAGAGGCAACTCTCCAAAAATTACATTTTGAACATTAAAACCTACCCGTTTTGATGTATAATTGTAAATATATATTTTAAGGTCATTCCATATATATGTAATACATCTTTACACATAAAAAATACATGCAGAATAGTTTCGCATTCATTGCTACAGAAAGTACAAATATCATTTTCTTTTATTTTAATTTTTTTAAGGTAATGATTTACAGGTAATATTCTATGTAAAATTCTAAACTGTAACCATTGGACAGAAGAGTTTGAAGATACCTTAAAGCACACTTTAAAAATATCTTTCAATTCCATTTCTTGAAGACTCCTTAAAAGCATTTCTGAATTCCATTTTGAAAAAGCAGTAGGCTTTACCTTTTTTGTGTTAATACTTTTATAAATATGTTTTGTACATTTATCAGTCAATATCATTTTTTTTATATAACAATGGTAAATAAGGGCGCTGTAACTTCATAAACTTTTCCCTGGAGAATTTCGTCTCTTTAAAAAACTTCGAAATGGCACTAACAATACTGTTATATTGCATAAAACAAACATAATGGATTTTTTATTTCTCCATAAAACTTTCTTTTGACAAAATTGATCCATTGACGTCTAAAAAATCATCAATAATTTTCACACCTTTTTTGTACCACTCTTTATAAAAAACTAGGGATGTCAACGAATATTCGAACATTCGAATATTCATTCGATGAGTTGATATTCGAATATGAATTTAAGATTCGAATATTCGGTATTTTTTTCAGATTTCATAAAAAGAAGTACTGTGTTTAATAAATTTTGATTAGAACAGTGCTGGAATTATCCCTGTTTAATTTACTAGCGATCAATTTTGATCGCCTGATTTCTTTCACTACTTTCTTATCGTATATATATATCTACTAAATTATTTTGTTTTGAGTAAGGTATTAAAGAATTATACAACAATGCGTTATGTATAATACAAAACGTATTTTCCTAGTTTTTATTAAATAAATACGATCGGATCTAGAATCGAGGACAACAAAATGAAAACCTTCTTAGAATGTCTATTTCAGAATAAATGGGTAAATTACTTAATTATCTCGGGTTATACATAATCTTGAATTTTATATTCATTATCGGGAAATTAGTTAATTACCTAGGAAAATCGTCTATGGTAATATTTGTTTATATTTTAAAAACATTGTATCAAAGATTATAATCATATCTCTTATTAGGTTGATAATGTGTATTTGTCCTTGGTAAGGCGACTGGTTCCTCGGAGCTACTATAAAATAAAATACACATGTAACATTTGTTAAAATTATCCTTTTCTACATTTAAATCAATTATTTATTTCAAACATTGACAAATATCAAATGGAATTCCTTATTGTATATATACAAAAGTCTTCATACAATTTTACTTCAGTATAAGAATAACGCTTAACCTTTCATGAGAGTAGGATGATGCATACCAGTATTTAAAATAAACCAGATTTTATTTATTTTATCGAATATTCGAATATATTCGAATACTTTCATTGAATATTCGAATATTAATTATTGACAAAATTGACATCCCTATAAAAAACACTATTTTTATTTACTTTTATACAAGAGTTGAACCACAATGGGGCTGATAAAACTTCATCAGAGTGTGTAAGATTAGCCTTATCAAAACAATCATTTATTACAAATAACCAAGACTCTAAAACATCTTTCCAAAAGTTGATTTTTGTACATTTCAACATTTTTAATACATAATCATAAAACTTATCTGCCACATTTTGTCCATATACTACTTCAAAAATGCTCAACCATGAGTGGCTTCCTTTAATAACCCTTTGAATCCATGAACATTTTAGAGAAAGTATGTAGATTTACCATATTAAGGTCCCCCAGTGTCTGGTGTTGAGTAACAACTACTCGTTTAATCTTATCACATTTTGACCCCCATACGAATCTGAACAACTGTTGTGTTAAAGAAGCTAAGGTTTCCTCACTAGGATTTGGTAATGAAATAAATAAATGGTTTAATTTTGTACAATTAAAGTTTTTGCTACTGTTACCCGACCAATGGGAGTTAAAATACGTCGATTCCACTGCTGAATCATTGAAGTGATTTTTGGTAATTGCAATTTAAAATTTAAATCAACGATTTTTTCAAGATCAACAGAAAAATTTATTCCTAACAAAGAGAAAGTTGTTGCCCCCCAATCTAGCTTCCATCTGGAATGGAGGAAGACTTCAGCAGAGAATTTTTTGGAGCCTATCCAGATGATTTTAGTTTTTGTACTATTTATTTTCAAACCTGACAATTTTGCATATAATTCTAATGTATCAAGAGCAGCATACAAGGAACCTGCAGAACCATCAAGGGCAAGAGAAGTACACTGTATCATCAGCAAATTGAGATACATGTAATTTGTGTTCCTTATCATTTACCACAATACCTTCAATATCGTGGTTTTGTTTAATAAGAACTAGATGAAATCCCGCGCAAGCGCGGGGAATTGAATTTATACCACTACCGACAGAAAAAATCTAATAATATATATATTGTAGTTTCTACTGACAGTCTACAGGCTTATAGCAGGAAGAAATACTTTGTTCAAAATCCCGCATAAAGCAGAAGTACGTTTCCACCCCCTCCCCGTTAAACTTAAATAACAATATCATTAATTGACGTTTATTGTGAAACCTGTTATATACAATGTACTATGTTATGGATAATGTACTTCAAATGCTCTTATTTCATTTCCGTCACGAATAAAAGCAGTGAATATGCACATTTTACCGAGAAATAGATTTTTTTTTTTTTTGTAAAAATTCACAGGTACTTGGATCTTGGTTTATAAATATGTATGTACCTTATTGATATGTAAAAACTGTACCTTACCTCTTTCTTTTTTTACATATCAATAAGGTACATGTATACATATTTATAATCCAAGACCTAAAAGTACCTGTGTAAAAATTAGCTTTTATTTAACGCCCTATGAATACACTGGCGGATTTAGAGGGGGGCCCAACCCCCCTCCCGTTTTGTGTCCAAAATATACATAAAATTGAATAAATCTTTTTTTTTTGGTGTGTCCATGGCCCCCTACCCCAATCCCAAACTGGTCCCCCCTTTTAAGATTCCTGGATCCGCCACTGGAATATAGGCCGAGTATTTGATACAAAAGACTGTATTCAGAAAAAAAACCTGAGATGTATTAATTAAAGCACAAAATTATACAACATAATTGTATTTGAATAATGCCTTATTCATTGATATTCTCTTTTCATGTAAGCAAGTTTATTACAAAGTACAAATTGTACTTCGGGTTCGTTGCCACGATGCTCTCAGTGAGGAATCTATACAAATTTTACCGATAAATTTATTAGGAAACCTACTACATATATGTAATAGTCTTTCGATATATAAATATATTCACAACTTACAGTGTTATCAATGATTTACCATTATTTCAATGACCATTCACACAAAAGCTTTTTTTTTTCTTTTTAACATCGGGCTCGATGCTATATGATGTTCTAGAAGCTTCTGTCAATATTACGATCGGTGAATGACGAAAATAATTTGCACATTTCCCTTTTTAATAGGTTATCACAACTTATTTCTTTTATATCATTTAAATCAAGTTTTGATTGAATAATTCAGTAATGACGTTTAATGAAATAAATAAACGATTGCTTGTTGTCAGTTTCATTAAAAATTGCCAGTAACTTTGATCCGCCAACCGGAAACGCCACTGTACTCACGTTTTTGCTATTTCATGGCTGTTTATAGAAAATAAAAGAAGACTTTTAATTTAATGTACGATACTTACAATGCAAGTGAAATCTAGATATAGTTTACGGACATCATCTTGTATCGTGTGTATTCTTAGAGGAGTAAGTAAGAACTCTGGCGCATCCGTTTCGGAGTTTATTTGCAAAATTTATTAATTTATAAGTATAGATAGTAAGAATTTCTGCACAGAGAAGAAAAATGTACTGGATTTCTTCTCCACGTGTATATTTTTTTTTAATCTGGGTTAAGTATTCTATAATAGTCAACTAAATTCAAATCATTCATTATTTCGATAAGTTTATCTCTGGCTTTAGGGTTATTTACACTAGCATAATTAAGTGTGTCTATGTTGGGATTCAATGCCAGGTTGAAGTCTCCACACAGGATATAAAAATCATTATGAAATTCTAAAAAATATTCCCTAATTTTCTCACACAAAACTTAAAAACATTCCTTAAATATGGCTATTATTCTCTTGAATGGAATATTTGTTTGAAATACGTTTCACACATTACTTTTTCAGATACAATCTGACCACAACATTAAGACATTTCTTTGAGAGAAGCGACCTTTTCACTTACTCGGAAATGCGAACGTTTTATTCCAACACACTTGATCTGATGACTCATAGAATGGGCTTCCCGAGTCATAACTACCTGCGGCTTGACAATACATTAAATCGAAAAAATATATTAAAGTAAGTAACAGGGTACACAATTCTTTAATTTCTTGTTCTGGCATAAGTGACAGTTGACTTCACAGTATATTTCTTTTTGTAGCGTGAGAAAGTTACCGGTTAACTTAATATGATCTTGTTCTGGGATAAGTGAAAGTTAATTATACCACTGTATATGATTTCATCTTTTAATGTTCCCCAAACGAAGTTTGGGAACATATTGTTTTTACTATGTTTCTTATTATTATTAATGATGTCTTTCGTTCCAGACAAAAGACCTTATAGTGATTCCACTTTTTCTGTTCATTTAGGTCTTTTGTTTCAGACGGAAGATCTTATAGTGATTGTACTGTTTATTAAGGTCTTACGTTTCAGACGGAAGACATTAATATAGTGATTGTACTGTTTATTAAGGTCTTCTGACTTCCTTCGGAAGGCCATATTGTTTTCGTTCAGTTTCCTATTATTATTATGTCACCCCGAACGAAGTCGGGGGGATAAATAGCTATTGTCCGCCCAATAACTTTGTCCACGGATTTTTTCGCAGATAGGTGGGACAATCTTGCTGAAACTTTCCCCCAAAAAATGATAACCATTTGTAGTTGTGCAGTGAACACTTTCAGTTTCAACATATCTACTGTTGCCATGGAAACATACGGGAGTGTGATCCCTTGGACAATCGTAATGAATATTCATAGAACAGATAATCAGTAATTGTAGTTTTGCAGATAGCATTTAAAATTTTCAAATTGGAAACAGAAGAAAAGTAAAAATTGTTAAACTTCGATTTTCTCACTAACTACTGCTGCAATTATTTTGAAACTTTTAAGGATCAGCCATCACTTTCGTCATAGGATGTGATCAAAGAAATCGAAAATTTCAACTTTTCTCTTTTGAAATAAATCTTGCATCATAAAATTGTATCTCTTTTACAGTTTCCATATGCGTTTGTCTCACCCAAAACAAAAAACAACTTCCAATTATAAGAGAAAAGTAGTAATTTGGGTTTTTAACTTTCCCATAAATATCGCTTATAGTTAAAGTTCTTGAAAATATTTTATATATATTATTAAGATTGCGGATGTCTAGAGTGACGTCAAATATCTTATTAAAATTCATTTCCGGTTGCATGTTTTCCTATCCTTAGATATTGTTCACCTAAATACTCAGCAATAGCGAACGACTAAAGTCGAAAACTTTCAGGACTGATAGTTAGTCATCAGTTTATCTACATCATGTGAAAACCGTACGTTGCTGTCACTTCCGGTCGCGACAGGAAGCGCTGCAAAAATTGATTTTTTAAAAGTTTTTTTTTTCTTTTTCAGAAATCTTTAGCTAATGCGAATGTTAGATAAACCACGACTATGCAAAATATTTTCACCGGAAGTTCCGGATGGAAAACCGGCACTTGTCTCAATCAAGAGTAGTTTTTCATGGAAACTTTTAGGAATGATCAGTTGTGAATAATTTAGGTGTAGAGTGAAATTTTTTAGTCGTTTGGAGCACTTCCTGTCATTTTGTAATAATTTCTAGTAATTTAATTGATAAGAACGTGCTTTTTTCAAAGGAGTCAAGAAAACGGAAGACCTGTTATTGCCTTATCATTATCATTTCGTTTTTACAGTAGGATGCGATATCTCAGCTTTGAGTTGTCGGATTTAAATGATTTTCTAAGGAGTTATGCATCATGAAAATTGTAACAAACTTTTTTTCTTATTTTTTTTAAAAATTCACTTCCATCCGCGATTTTTGGGCAAATTTGTTTTTTTTTAATTGAATTTTGTCTAGACATTTTCTTGAGAACGGCTGAAGATGAACCTCACTGACATGATTAAGCATCACATGTATATGTGCTGATTAACCTTTATTTTTTTCAATACTTCCAGTTGCAAACGGATGTGAATTCAAAAAGTCAAAATTTTCAACTTTTTTGTTTTTCACTATTTTTTTCGATGACATTGATAGGATTAATAGAAAGCCTGATCAGAAGGCTAAACATATATAATTTGTTTTAAAATTGATCAACCCTTATTCGAGATATTTATTTTTTTACGTTCTCAAAAGCGTTATGGTAACCGAATTGTATTTGTCGTGAATGTCTGAAAAATATAGGATCCAAAGTCGAGTTAGAACTTGAATTTCAATCCAATCTTTTTTCCAGACGTCCGCGTCGAATGAAGTAGAATTTCAATCCAAAGTTTTCGCAGACGTCCGAGTCGAATAGAATTTCAATACAATTTTTGTCAGACGTCCGCGCACAATGATTAAGAATTTCAATTCAATGTTTTTTTAAACGTTTGCGTCGAATGAAATAGAACTTTTATCCAATGTTTTCTCAGACGTCGAATGAAGAAAAAATTCAAACTTATGTTGAGGAAACTACCATGAAAACTTTAATCGAATAAGGTTTTTTAGTAACATTATTTAGCCTTTAGTTCCGACAAACAGTCGGTCGAAGACCACTTGTTGTCATAGCAACAAGGTACGCAATTAATTATTATTATCCCCCTTTATTTGTCGGCACTATTTCTCAGAGATGGATAGATGGCTTTTCTTGAAATTATCAGGGATGATAGAAAATGAAAATATCCTCAGAAAGTTTTTCACTTTTTTCAAAATCCACTTCCGGTCATCAGATATATCCGTTTTCCGTTTTTTTTTTCTTTTTTTTTTTCTTTTTAAATATTTTGTCCGAGCGAGGTCTCAGAAACAGTAAGAGATTAAGACACTTAACTTATATAAGTAATAAACTTTGAAGAGTAGGCGAAACCATTTGGGATAAGGGCGTAGCCGTCATTACCGTTCGTCAAAGGATGTGATCAAAGAAATCGAAAATTTCAACTTTCGATATGTGTTGGTTTCACCGGAAACAAAAAAGACAACTTCCGGTTACCAGAGAGAAACTGCATAATTGGGGTTTTTAAAATTCCCATAAATATCGCTAATAGATAATTCTTTAAAATGATTTTTATACATGTTATTAAGACTGAAACTGTCTAGATTGACATCTAAATATCTTTGTAAAATTCACTTATCGAGTGTTTCCATGTCCTCAGAATGAAATTTTGTTTATTTGCTCGATAACATTAAATGACTGAAGTCTAAAACTTTCAGGACTGATAGTCAGTCACAGTTTATCTACATCCTGTGAAAATCGTATGTTGTCGTCACTTCCGGTTGTAACAGGAAGCTATGCGAAAAATTGAATTTTCAATTTTTTTTCTTTTTACATTTATTTGGTTATTCGGATGTTAGTTAGACCATGTTCATGCAAATAACTTTTACCGGAATATCCAGCCGAAAACCCGGAAGTTGTCTCAAACATGAGTAGTTTCTCATGGAAACTTTTAGGGATGATCAATTGTTAATGATTTAGTTGTAGAATGAACTTTCTATTTCGTTTGTAGAACTCCCGGTCATGATAGGAAGTAAACAGCACACATAGCACGTCTGTTTTGTTTGAGTTACAAGATAATAATGACAGAAGAAAGTTTGTGGAACATCTGTAACGGTCTCCGTTACAATTAGAAATAGTTTATGTTTGCCTTTGAAGGACAGTGGTGGTCTTCAACATTTATTGAATTGATGGAATGTCATACTACCATTCATGGGGTATGGGTTAGAAAAACGAAACTAAAAATAAAATTGATTTTTTTTTTCCAAAACGCATTTTACAAATTATGAACGGAAAATTTCAGTGAAATATCTTTCTTGCTTTCCTGGTTGTGCTACCTCAGATCTCCAATATTATATTGCTTTATCGTTCAAATCTGTTGAACATTCTGTTCTTGGTGAAGAACAGAACATAATAAATTGTTTTATTTTCAAAAAGTTTTGTTTTATGAACTTTTAATTGAAGACGTATACGGAATTTTAAACCACGTGGAAGTTTTAGAGACAGTTTCTACTACAATAATATTTTGTATGGGCTTCTCACTGACATGGGTGAACGACTAGGTGGAAATTCTTGGGAGGAGCTAATTAAGCAAGAATTCTTTAAGCCTATTGGTATGACAAACTCCACATTTTTTACTACGATGAATCCGAACCTCATCAATATTTCCACTGGATACATACAGGAAAACGAACAACTTTATCCAGCATCTTTTGAACTCTTAAGGTATTAATCATTAAAACTGAAATAGATTTAATACTATGTCTTTAGATGTTTAAATCATGAGTTCAAGGATTAAAGTATGATTTTATTTCACTTTTTCAAACTTTTAATTTACAACAAGGAAATGGACTGAGTTATGTGGTTCCGCTTGCGTAGTAGTCAATGCTAATGATATGGCACAATTCATGAAATTCCTATTAAACGATGGAGTCACCTACTCGGGTGAGAGACTCGTCGGAAAAGAAGAGATGAAAGACATGTTTCTCTCTTGGAATCTTTTGCGATCATCCAAGATTGAAGAATACTTCTCAACTATAAAAGGAGTTCCTTTCTCTAGACAATACACAGGCTACGCTCTTGGTTTAAAGACTGGAATGTATAGAAGTAAATAGTTATACAAATATATTAATTGTTTAATGTTTCAGCCATGTGGTGTTGAGAATAATAGATATCTCTTTATATTCAATATTGAATAATTAAAATTAGCCAAAATTGCAAGGATTCTAATTTCAAACTTTTGAGGGAATTCGATATTATTTTAGAAAAATTATGAAAGCGTTGTATTTTATTTTGTACCTGTAATATGCACCCTATGTGAATTCAGATCATAGAATATTAGAAGAAGTGGGAGATATTTTTGGATACAGTTCAATAATGACCCTCTTCCCAGACCAGAATTTGGGTATCTTTATCGCCATGACAGGCCAAGACAAGAATGATTTTTTCCGAATCACTGTCAGTTCTTACCTAGCTGATTTATACAACAAACAGGAACCCTGGTTAAATGTCTCGACTATATGTACCTTCCCAGAGCCTTTCATGAAGAAGCCAAATAGAGAAAGAAGTGAAAAGACTTTTAAAGAAATTCCTCTGGGTAGACCAGCAAGTGATTTCATTGGAAGATACCACCATGATATATATAGGGATATTATAGTCACGGAATACAATGGTTCACTAAAACTTCAATACGGATATGCCTCCTTTGATTTGATTCGTCGAAGTTCTAAATCTTATAAATTCAACATGATAAGTACAGGAATTGTATCCCATGCTTTCAAGAAGAGATCTGTGGAATTTAAAGCAAGTAATTCCAGTCGACCAGGCTACATAGATATTGCATATTTACGACATTTCGAGAAAAGTGATTTCATAAAACAACCACACTTGACCGTTGGTATGTAGGTTTATTTACTTACAAAAGCAAATATGATTATGCTCTTCTTAAAGTCACCTCGCAGGATTTCATCTAGTGGTTATTTTAAAATCTTGTCACGAAAAGATGTAAAATCAGTACTACAAGTTACTCCTGTAGATGCTTTTCGTGGTCTTTTTCAAGTACATTTAGGGATAATATATGTACTTGCATTTTATTTTCTCGATAGAGAAAAAGAATTTGTTTCCATAAACAATAACAGTTTATCGAATATCAAAATTTGGATTGGATGATTTAATGTTAATTCTTGCAACCTAGCTTAGCATTTGAAGTCTAACACTTGTGACAACTTTCATAGATTTTTCCAAAGATTTATCATTTTTATTCACATATTTATACCTGTGCATACAATGCATGTATTCATTTTCTGAAGAAAACCAGTAATATGCATATGTATACAGATAATTACAGATATTTTAAAGTAGTCGATGTGTAATATTGCACACATTTTCTATCCATTGCATGTAGAATAAAAGATTTGCTTCCCTCAGGAAGAAGCTTGATTAGATGATTTATTTGACGTCAATATGGATGGATGGATGGATGGAGAGAGAGGGGGAGAGAGAGATCAATAACTGTATGATGATAATTTTCGAGAATTGTTACGAAATATTCTACTTTCAGTAAAACCGGAGGAAATTGAAATGAGCAGGGAAGACATTTTAGATACTGCATTGCAGACAACATTTGAGGCTTGCCGATGGAATCAAAACCCAAGTATGGTAGTTGCAGTTGTTAAAGATGGAAAAGCCGTCTTCTCTAAGGCATATGGTTACAAGGACTTGGAATCTAGGCAATCTGTGACGACTAAAACGATGTTTGGCATTGGTTCTTTGACAAAAATATTTGCCAATCTTCTTATACAAAAGTATATGAATAATGATACAAGGTACTAAGTATGTTCTATATCCAGAAATATCAGTTTGTCGATTATGGAGTAGAATCCCCTGATAGTCAGCCTAATATTGTGCTCTAGAGTAGGATTTCCTCCCCCTCCCCCGATATGAAATCTAACGCTAGAGCCAAATTTTTCCATGCATTTTTTTTTCTCAGAGTAGGTTTTCCTCTTTCTTATCAAAATATAAAATTATATATATCGTCTTTTCTTATTTTGTCAAAAAGGTAGCATACCCCCCCCCCCCAAAATGAATACATGTATGTCAGGCCTGTAGCAACGTTTTTGAAAATTGGGGGACCTCTCAAAAATTTGACAAGCAAAAAAACCCAAATTCGAAAATGATATTTTGTTGAACGGGGGAGGGGGAGGGGAGGTGAATTTCCCCTAATTTTTTGATACATAGTTTCAAATGTTTGAATTTGCCTTACAGCAACGAAAGTAAGGAACCAACCAGCATCTGAATGAAAATTTACATCTAAAATTATAGCAAAAATCTATACTCAGAAAAAGTGAGGCCAGCCCCCCCCCCCCCCCCCGCGTCCTATGGGCCTGTATGTTGTATGATGTCTGTGGGGGGAAAGCCTACTCTAGTGACATATATGCGTAGGGTAGATCCTACTCTAGAGTCTTTCGGGGGGAGGGGGGCGGGCAGTTCTAGAGAGTTTTTCGGGGGAAAAGATTATTTTATTATACTTTAGATTTAAAAACATTTCAAGACTTGTTATTTGCATGAGGTATTTCTTTGACTTAAAAAGTAATAGCAAATTACTTTAAAATTCCCATAAATATCGCTAATAGATAATTCTTTAAAATGATTTTTATACATGTTATTAAGACTGAAACTGTCTAGATTGACATCTAAATATCTTTGTAAAATTCACTTATCGAGTGTTTCCATGTCCTCAGAATGAAATTTTGTTTATTTGCTCGATAACATTAAATGACTGAAGTCTAAAACTTTCAGGACTGATAGTCAGTCACAGTTTATCTACATCCTGTGAAAATCGTATGTTGTCGTCACTTCCGGTTGTAACAGGAAGCTATGCGAAAAATTGAATTTTCAATTTTTTTTCTTTTTACATTTATTTGGTTATTCGGATGTTAGTTAGACCATGTTCATGCAAATAACTTTTACCGGAATATCCAGCCGAAAACCCGGAAGTTGTCTCAAACATGAGTAGTTTCTCATGGAAACTTTTAGGGATGATCAATTGTTAATGATTTAGTTGTAGAATGAACTTTCTATTTCGTTTGTAGAACTCCCGGTCATGATAGGAAGTAAACAGCACACATAGCACGTCTGTTTTGTTTGAGTTACAAGATAATAATGACAGAAGAAAGTTTGTGGAACATCTGTAACGGTCTCCGTTACAATTAGAAATAGTTTATGTTTGCCTTTGAAGGACAGTGGTGGTCTTCAACATTTATTGAATTGATGGAATGTCATACTACCATTCATGGGGTATGGGTTAGAAAAACGAAACTAAAAATAAAATTGATTTTTTTTTTCCAAAACGCATTTTACAAATTATGAACGGAAAATTTCAGTGAAATATCTTTCTTGCTTTCCTGGTTGTGCTACCTCAGATCTCCAATATTATATTGCTTTATCGTTCAAATCTGTTGAACATTCTGTTCTTGGTGAAGAACAGAACATAATAAATTGTTTTATTTTCAAAAAGTTTTGTTTTATGAACTTTTAATTGAAGACGTATACGGAATTTTAAACCACGTGGAAGTTTTAGAGACAGTTTCTACTACAATAATATTTTGTATGGGCTTCTCACTGACATGGGTGAACGACTAGGTGGAAATTCTTGGGAGGAGCTAATTAAGCAAGAATTCTTTAAGCCTATTGGTATGACAAACTCCACATTTTTTACTACGATGAATCCGAACCTCATCAATATTTCCACTGGATACATACAGGAAAACGAACAACTTTATCCAGCATCTTTTGAACTCTTAAGGTATTAATCATTAAAACTGAAATAGATTTAATACTATGTCTTTAGATGTTTAAATCATGAGTTCAAGGATTAAAGTATGATTTTATTTCACTTTTTCAAACTTTTAATTTACAACAAGGAAATGGACTGAGTTATGTGGTTCCGCTTGCGTAGTAGTCAATGCTAATGATATGGCACAATTCATGAAATTCCTATTAAACGATGGAGTCACCTACTCGGGTGAGAGACTCGTCGGAAAAGAAGAGATGAAAGACATGTTTCTCTCTTGGAATCTTTTGCGATCATCCAAGATTGAAGAATACTTCTCAACTATAAAAGGAGTTCCTTTCTCTAGACAATACACAGGCTACGCTCTTGGTTTAAAGACTGGAATGTATAGAAGTAAATAGTTATACAAATATATTAATTGTTTAATGTTTCAGCCATGTGGTGTTGAGAATAATAGATATCTCTTTATATTCAATATTGAATAATTAAAATTAGCCAAAATTGCAAGGATTCTAATTTCAAACTTTTGAGGGAATTCGATATTATTTTAGAAAAATTATGAAAGCGTTGTATTTTATTTTGTACCTGTAATATGCACCCTATGTGAATTCAGATCATAGAATATTAGAAGAAGTGGGAGATATTTTTGGATACAGTTCAATAATGACCCTCTTCCCAGACCAGAATTTGGGTATCTTTATCGCCATGACAGGCCAAGACAAGAATGATTTTTTCCGAATCACTGTCAGTTCTTACCTAGCTGATTTATACAACAAACAGGAACCCTGGTTAAATGTCTCGACTATATGTACCTTCCCAGAGCCTTTCATGAAGAAGCCAAATAGAGAAAGAAGTGAAAAGACTTTTAAAGAAATTCCTCTGGGTAGACCAGCAAGTGATTTCATTGGAAGATACCACCATGATATATATAGGGATATTATAGTCACGGAATACAATGGTTCACTAAAACTTCAATACGGATATGCCTCCTTTGATTTGATTCGTCGAAGTTCTAAATCTTATAAATTCAACATGATAAGTACAGGAATTGTATCCCATGCTTTCAAGAAGAGATCTGTGGAATTTAAAGCAAGTAATTCCAGTCGACCAGGCTACATAGATATTGCATATTTACGACATTTCGAGAAAAGTGATTTCATAAAACAACCACACTTGACCGTTGGTATGTAGGTTTATTTACTTACAAAAGCAAATATGATTATGCTCTTCTTAAAGTCACCTCGCAGGATTTCATCTAGTGGTTATTTTAAAATCTTGTCACGAAAAGATGTAAAATCAGTACTACAAGTTACTCCTGTAGATGCTTTTCGTGGTCTTTTTCAAGTACATTTAGGGATAATATATGTACTTGCATTTTATTTTCTCGATAGAGAAAAAGAATTTGTTTCCATAAACAATAACAGTTTATCGAATATCAAAATTTGGATTGGATGATTTAATGTTAATTCTTGCAACCTAGCTTAGCATTTGAAGTCTAACACTTGTGACAACTTTCATAGATTTTTCCAAAGATTTATCATTTTTATTCACATATTTATACCTGTGCATACAATGCATGTATTCATTTTCTGAAGAAAACCAGTAATATGCATATGTATACAGATAATTACAGATATTTTAAAGTAGTCGATGTGTAATATTGCACACATTTTCTATCCATTGCATGTAGAATAAAAGATTTGCTTCCCTCAGGAAGAAGCTTGATTAGATGATTTATTTGACGTCAATATGGATGGATGGATGGATGGAGAGAGAGGGGGAGAGAGAGATCAATAACTGTATGATGATAATTTTCGAGAATTGTTACGAAATATTCTACTTTCAGTAAAACCGGAGGAAATTGAAATGAGCAGGGAAGACATTTTAGATACTGCATTGCAGACAACATTTGAGGCTTGCCGATGGAATCAAAACCCAAGTATGGTAGTTGCAGTTGTTAAAGATGGAAAAGCCGTCTTCTCTAAGGCATATGGTTACAAGGACTTGGAATCTAGGCAATCTGTGACGACTAAAACGATGTTTGGCATTGGTTCTTTGACAAAAATATTTGCCAATCTTCTTATACAAAAGTATATGAATAATGATACAAGGTACTAAGTATGTTCTATATCCAGAAATATCAGTTTGTCGATTATGGAGTAGAATCCCCTGATAGTCAGCCTAATATTGTGCTCTAGAGTAGGATTTCCTCCCCCTCCCCCGATATGAAATCTAACGCTAGAGCCAAATTTTTCCATGCATTTTTTTTTCTCAGAGTAGGTTTTCCTCTTTCTTATCAAAATATAAAATTATATATATCGTCTTTTCTTATTTTGTCAAAAAGGTAGCATACCCCCCCCCCCCAAAATGAATACATGTATGTCAGGCCTGTAGCAACGTTTTTGAAAATTGGGGGACCTCTCAAAAATTTGACAAGCAAAAAAACCCAAATTCGAAAATGATATTTTGTTGAACGGGGGAGGGGGAGGGGAGGTGAATTTCCCCTAATTTTTTGATACATAGTTTCAAATGTTTGAATTTGCCTTACAGCAACGAAAGTAAGGAACCAACCAGCATCTGAATGAAAATTTACATCTAAAATTATAGCAAAAATCTATACTCAGAAAAAGTGAGGCCAGCCCCCCCCCCCCCCCCCCGCGTCCTATGGGCCTGTATGTTGTATGATGTCTGTGGGGGGAAAGCCTACTCTAGTGACATATATGCGTAGGGTAGATCCTACTCTAGAGTCTTTCGGGGGGAGGGGGGCGGGCAGTTCTAGAGAGTTTTTCGGGGGAAAAGATTATTTTATTATACTTTAGATTTAAAAACATTTCAAGACTTGTTATTTGCATGAGGTATTTCTTTGACTTAAAAAGTAATAGCAAATTTTAATTTTTTTCGTTTTTAATTTTCAGATATGACTTGAACACTACTCTTCGGCATCTTTTTGGTAACAAAGAACTATTCAATCAATCTTTTCTGCTCTCTCAGTTTGTTAATACTTTGGATGTGATGACCCACAGAACGGGTCTCCGACCGTATAACTACCTCCGATTGGATAACAGTCTCAAACGGGAAAACGTAATGGAGTAAGTTCATCATACTATGCTGATCTATTTCAGTTCGGTGCTTTCGTACGTACTTAACAACTCATCATAGAACAATGAGATTTTGAATAATATTTGCTTTACATTTGTACAAGGATACCACAAAATAATGCTATGTCTAAAGCAGTCTAAAAATCTTGTTTGTCTCAAGAAAATGCTTTGTTTGCTTCCTTCCCTCCTCCCACTCCCCCAATGACTTGCAATTGCCTCCTTTGAATGCAGAAATTAGACTTTTTCATGTATATCAGAGATCAAACTATACCTCCCATATGCTTGAATTATGAAGTTCATTATTTGCATTCATTAAATAGAGGACTTACTGAAATATGTACAGTGCTATTTTCCAACTGCACTGAAAGAGTCGATGAAAATCCGAATCTTAATACCCTTTGATGGTTCACCGTTGTATATGGCACGCCGATTGCATCCAAGGATTTTTCTGCTTTTCTGCACGTCCTTAAACAAGAAGTACACATAGGCAAAGTGAGGGAAATACACTCAAACCTATTGAAATTTACACAAACTTTAAGAAAAACTGCACAATCAATAAAATATTTAAAGGGGGAGGAAATAAGCACCTCCTTCAAATTTACCTGGTCTGTGAACCCCTGTCAATCATCTGAAATTAAGCCTGGGATTGGATACTTGGATTTGATTGACATTTAGTTTTCTGCCATTGTGTATATCTTGTGTACCTTGTCTGGGGATCATACCGACCATCGAATTTACATTCAGGCTTTTGATGCTTACCGCAAATGAAAACGTGATAAAGAAGCAATGAAAACATTTTTTTATTTAATTCATAAGAATATACCATAAATGTAATAATTCTGTTAAATAATTAAAAAAAATGACAAGAAAAAATATGCTTATATATTAAAATTTATAAAGGGGGGATTTCATTTCACGATTACAATCGATAACTATAATTTGTCAAAACATAGTTTAACTGACGTACATTTATTCTACCTTAACAACATATACCGACCCGCGTTTGAAGTATCATGGAAGTAAATAAAATTATTTCTTTTAAAACAAGTATGAAAACATTGCAATATTGCTCAAGCAAAATTTTATATAAGACAATTGTGCTAGTAGACGTGTCGCTTTTCTTCGAGACAAGGTGACGAAGTTACGGTATAATAATCAGTTTTAGAAGAGAAATTATTCGGATTATAACGTCTTGCTTTGCATATAATATTTGAAATCATGAATCCCGAAGGGAAAAAAAAGTGTATGAAGCAGGTGATTCCATTCCCGTTTCACCGGGTAATAGCTAGTCGTCGGTAAACCACCCCTAGTCCGAAGCCCTGGCCATTTTATACAGATCATGCGTCCTGGAAAAATCACGTAGGAATTATCTTCAAAAATATTTATTTAGTTTATTATATTTTTACAAAATGTAGCCTCCAAACAGCGTTTCTAAGTTTTATTTTTACTGAGAGACTTATTTATGACCCACTTTCTGTTTTCGTTTTGCATGCACGACATGCAATTTGAATTACTTCCCTTTGTGTCGCCAGCTTACAACGACAGATTTGGCCCTATATTCGTTATAACATTTAATATTAATTAACAAACACACAGTATAATGAAAATCGTCAAATTATTTTTAAAAAAATTTAATTTCAAAAGAAAGAATTTAAGTAAGATTCTGTTCGCAACTAAAATATTTTGCATGCCTTATTTAGAAAATTTGACGGTCAACATTTCAATTGACCCACACAACAAAAAACAATAACATTGTTTTACCATGTCGTAGAAAAACATATACAGGTAATACAGGTAACATCCTGTGTATATAGGTAGGTATACACAAGCCAGCGTCGTTCCCTCAGGGCTTCTCACCCGCTTCGATTAAGCTCCACCCCACACCAAACTTACCTGAGGAAAACCGACCGGTTGAAAACCTCGGCTTTTAAACGATATGGTGAGAAAATTACATAAATCGATGATCTGACACATCAAAAATAAGATTAAACATTTTTTGACTGGATTCGAGGGGAACATGCGTTTTGTCGGACCCAAGAATCAAACTGTTTGCCTGAGGCCGGTGTCGCATAATTTACGTTCCGGATACTTCGCGTTCCGGCCGGAACCTTAGAATCATAATATTGGTTCCGGATGTTACTGTAAGTTTGGTTCCGGCCATGGCTGCAATCTTCGAATCGCGTTATCTCTCAATTATTATCTGCCAGTTTTCATTCTACACTGAACCATAGAAGTACTTTTTTCCTTGAGGATTAAGCATGGCGCAGCGGCATGCCATTTTCATTTGGCGCAATGTTCTTTTTTTAAGGCGTCATGCCCTCTTTGTACAGCCATTTTTAAAAATAAATGAATAAATAGCCCAAGTAAAGATCGTGAAATACGCTTTCTGATACATATACATCGAATAAAATGTGGTCGCATGAAAGGCTGTTTATCTAATGCATACAAATTAAGTCCCTTTGTTTATTTAGTGCATGTCAGGTGTGAATTTCTCGCTTGAATGCCCACAGACCCGGTATTTACAGGGTAAAGAGGATAAGAAGATAAACTAGACTGAAATTACAAAAGCCTAGAAAGAAGCACAATCACTTATGTCAAAGACAAATTTGATCAGTAAATTTTAATTTTATAATCTGATAAAGTATAAGAATTAAATACAAAATGGTATATGTATTTACAGAGAGGCATTCTCTGTTTAAATGATATTACAAGTGTTGCAAATTCCACAATGTCGAACCTCGAATACATGGCTTCCATTCCTCATAGATATTATCACTTGGCATGAAAATATGATTTATATTCCATTAGAAATAAACAAACATAAAAAATATAATTCACTGATGAAGATAGTTATATAGTTTTTGTGATAAATTAACAATGGATATTTCATGAATATGTGGTTTATTCTGCAATGAAACAAACATGAAAACATAACGATATGGTTTATTCCCTTTGAATAAACAAACACAAGTAATTAATGAAAATTATGTTGTTGTTGTTTTTCAAAGACCGTAGGAAGAAAAAAAAAACAAGGTTGAAATATGAAAAGTAAAGACCAGCAATGTTGATTGTGAAAATAGCAGTGAGGTGAACTGAATTTGATAAAATATTTTAGTAAAATCAAGGTTTTAGCAAATTTTAAATGATTTTTTTTTAATGTTTTAAAGGCCTTGAAATGCACTTTTCTGTAACTTCGATGTATGTCCTACCCACACACCCCTTAAGATATTTAGGAAATAACTTTTATTCCTTGGTGTTTTTTATACATAAAACACAATAAGAAAATGACAATTTTTATGACACTTTAAAACTTTATCGTTTTATACATACCATTATGTTTAATGAATATCAAAATTTGTGGAGAAAAAATTCGAATATATACATGTAGGCAGAAGGCAAGCTGCAGTAATGTAACACCCCTCCATTTTTTTTTAAATCTCAGCCCCCTCCCCCAAATTTAAAAAAAGGAGGAGGTTATAACAGCTCCAAAAAAAAGTGTTAGTTAATTATCTGAGCCCCCCCCCCCCAAAAAAAAAATGGAGAAGTTTAAATTATAGCATCTGCAAAAATGTAAAATTGTTAATTCATTTTTTTTATCATTTGCAAATTAAAAATAATTATTATTCCAGGTTACAATTTCTGATAGTAATATCAAACATTTTCGTTTCCTGTTCATTGTATTCCACCTTATAAAAAGATAATAATAAAGCATTTTCAAACATTTTTGTAACTAAGTTGTTTCTGTTCCACTTTATAACGAAGATAAAGTAGCCCGGAACCATAATTATTGTCATAATTAACGTTGCGGGTTACAATTGCTGAGAGTATTTTCAAATATTAGTATTTTCAAATATTTTTGTCACTAGGTTGTTTCTTTTCCACTTTATTACAAAGATAAAGTAGCCCGGAACTAAAATTATGGTCATAATCAACGTTCAGGGTTACAATTGCTGAGAGTATTTTCAAACATTTTTGTCACTAGGTTGTTTCTTTTCCACTTGATTACAAAGATAAAGTAGCCCGGAACTAAAATTATGTTTATAATTAACGTTCCGGGTTACAATTGCTGTGTATTTTCAAACATCTTTTGTTACTAGGCTCTTTTTTTCCCACTTTATTACGAAGATAAAGTAGCCCGGAACCAAAATTATGGTCATAATTAACGTTCAGGGTTACAATTGCTGAGAGTATTTTCAAATATTTTTCTTACTAGGTTGTTTCTTTTCCCGTTTATGACAAAGATAAAGTAGCCCGGAACTAAAATTATGGTCATAATCAACGTTCCGGGTTACAATTGCTGAGATTATTTTCAAATATTTTTGTCACTAGGTTGTTTCTTTTCCACTTGATTACAAAGATAAAGTAAATCGGAACTAAAATTATGTTTATAATTAACGTTCCGGGTTACAATTGCTGTGTATTTTCAAACATCTTTTGTTACTAGGCTGGTTTTTTTCCCACTTTATTACGAAGATAAAATAGCCCGGAACCAAAATTATGGTCATAATTAACGTTCCGGGTTACAATTGCTGAGAGTATTTTCAAATATTTTTGTCACTAGGTTGTTTCTTTTCCACTTCATTACGAAGATAAAGTAGCCCGGAACCAAAATTATGGTCATAATTAACGTTCCGGGTTACAATTGCTGAATGTATTTTCAAATATTTTTCTTACTAGGTTGTTTCTTTTCCCCTTTATGACAAAGATAAAGTAGCCCGGAACTAAAATTATGGTCATAATTAACGTTCCGGGTTACAATTGTTGAAAGTATTTTCAAATATTAGTATTTTCAAATATTTTTATCACTAGGTTGTTTCTTTTTCACTTTATTACAAAGATAAAGTAGCCCGGAACTAAAATTATGGTCATAATCAACGTTCCGGGTTACAATTGCTGAGAGTATTTTCAAATATTTTTGTCACTAGGTTGTTTCTTTTCCACTTGATTACAAAGATAAAGTAACTCGGAACTAAAATTATGTTTATAATTAA